AAAAAAAAGAACAAAGCATGGAGAAGTCACCCCAGACTCCGGAGAGGAGTGCCCAAGAATGAAGTGGGCGCTCACTCCATCATCAAAGCAAAAATGTCCCCACTTAAGACTCTCCTCAGAGCCCATGGAGAAGGGCAGGCACCCACCAGTGTTCCTGTCGCCCAGTGCTGAGCGGGCGTGGTGCCCAGCGTGGAGCTGGCATCGTGATAGTCGGCAGGGTGTGAGGAGAACAGGACACTCACAGGTCATGGGGACGAGCAGGGCCCCAGGAAACATGGGGCACTGCAGTGACGTGCCTGGGTCTCGGGAGAGCAGGGCCCTTACAGGACAGGTGGTCACGCTCTGTTCCCAGCCTATCATGTTCAAGCTCTCTGCCAGGGTCATGGACACCACGGCGATGTGCTCGGGGTGTCAAGAGAGCAGGGCATGTATAGGACACGTGGACACAGAAGGGCGTCCAGGTCTCAGCCATGGCTCTCTGCCAGGGTCACGGACATCACAGTGATATGCCCGGAGTCTCAGGAGAACGGGGCATGAGTAGGGCACATGGACACAGAGGTGCATCTAGGTCTCAGCCATGGCTCTCTGCCAGGGTCATGGACATCACAGTGATATGCCCGGGGTCTCAGGAGAACGGGGCATGAGTACGGCACATGGACACAGAGGGGCGTCCAGGTCTTGGCGACGGGACACTTACAGGACAAGCTGTCACGCTCTGTTCCCACTGCATCATGCTGAGGCTGTCCTCCAGGCTGGTGCACTTCTTCATGGCCACGTCCCAGCCGCAGTACGGGTCCTGGGCCCCGATGCAGGCACTGTGAACACACAGAGCAGGTGAACTCAAGGAGCCTCCGCCCCTCACCCAGCTCTCCCGTGAACACAGCTGGGGGGGACAGAGAGTTCGTGGGCAGCAGTGCCCATCTGGAACAGGGGTGACAGGCTCATGATGGGACAGAACAGTGTGGTGGTCTGCTTCCAAGACCACTGCCTTCAGCTTTACCGGGCAGGTCTACTCTGGTGAGGTTGCAGTGAGCCAGAATTGACTACAAACCACAACAACAACAACAACAACAACTTTATTTCTTCCGGAGAAGGATGGGCAATCTCCTCTTGTGTGATTAGCTGTCTCTGAAAAGCCATTGGAGGGTCAGCTATGGGTTCGTCCCAACTCGATGGTACACAACAACAAACAATAACAACGTGCCTCTGGAAACTCTATGAACTTTGATAGATGTTGACAGTTAAAGAAAGGGTTCAGGCCTTTTGTTCATAGGGTCACTGTGAGTCGTGCTTGACTCAACGGTAATCAACAATAACAACAACAACAAGGTTGCTGTAGATTGCACTTGAGTCAGAACCAACCCATTGTTCTAGTGGGTCTTCAGGCAATAAATCACACAGGAGGAGACCGACTGTCTTTCCGCAGAGCAGCTGGTGGATTCAAACTGAGTGCCTTTGGAATTGCAGAGCAGTTTCTTCCCACTAGGCCACTAGAGCATCGGAGACATTGTGAATTCTTGTACATACTTTTCGTAAACTTTTCAATGTATTAAATACGTTGTTGTTGTTAGGTACAGTCGAGTACAGCTCATAGTGACTCTCAAAAACAGATCTGCATCCTGTCCTATCCTGCACCATCCTCACACATCCAGACACACTCGAACCCACTCAGACTGTCATCATGTCAATCGTGCTGGTCAAGGGCCTTCCTCTCCTTCGCAGACCCTGCACCCTTCACAGCATCCTGTCCTTCTCCATGGAACAGCCCCACCCAGCAAGATGCCCCAAGTAAGTGAGGCGAAGCCTCTTTGTCCTTGTCTCCAAAGAGCACTCCAGCTGCACCCTCTCCAAGACACAGCTGTTTGTTCTCTTGGCCGTCCATGGGATGTCCAGTGCTCTTCTCCAACACCACAGCTCAAAGACGTCAATTCTTTTTCTGTCATCTTTATTCATCGTCCACTGCCCAGATGTACAGTAAGTGATTGGAAAGACTATGGCTTGAATCAGATACACCTTAGTCCTCAAATGACATCATTATTCCTCAGTAATGTGGAGAAGCATCTAACTGGAGATTTTTCCCAGTGTGATGCATCATCTAATTAATTCCTGCCTGCTCATACCAAGGGTGTTAATTTTTGATCCAAGTAAGATGAAGCTCTTGACAGTTAAAATCTCTTCTCCGTTCATCACGATGTTGCCCATAGGTCCAGTGGTTAAGAATCTTTGTTTTTCATGTACAGCCAAGCACAATCAATAAGAGTGCATCTGAATTCCAAAATCAATCTCCATAATAGTCTATGTGTTTCCTACTGCCAAAGGGGCCCTTTAGAGTAGTGAGAGAAGATCTTCACCCTGAAACCCACAGCGTCCCTTTTCAGCAGGAAGTAGCTAAGAGAATACGCCGTCCCCTTTTCCTTATGACTCAGGGTGAAGTCTCTCTCAGGGAGGAGTGATAGGGAATGGCAAAGGATACACTGACAAAGAAGATTAATCAGACCTGGCTTTGACAAGCACTGTGGCATTTGGACAAGAACAAACTTGGAGGAGGGTAGAGAGAATAGTGCAACAATGAATGAGTGGAAGCCCAAAATCTCTGTAAATGTTTATGAAAATTAATAAAATATAATTATAGAAAAAAAAAGAATCTTTGTTTTCTTGATATTGAGACACAATCCATACTGAAGGCTGCATTCCTTGATCTTCTGCAACAAATGCTTCAAGTCCTTCTTACTTTCATCAAGCATGGTTGTGTTATCTGCATAACACAGGTTAGTAAGTCTTCCTCTGATCCTGATGCCACATTCCTCTTCATAGAGTCCAGCTTTTCAAATAATTTGCTCAGCATTATTCACCATCACATGAACATGGAAACAGCCCAAATGCCCAACCTCAAACAAATGGATTGAGAAATTATGATACATTCACACAATGAAACACTATGCAGCACGCAGGAGCAATAACTTTGTAAATTATTACCTAACTTGGGAGGGACTGGAGAGCATTCTGCTGAGTGAACAAACTCAGTTCCACAAGGATAAATATTGTATAAAACCATTATTGTAGAATGAGTGTAAGGATCCAGGAGGGGTGGGAGAGGCTGGGAGCAGAGGATGTGGATGTGCAGGGGAAAGGGAGTATTAATCATTGGGTTGTAAAATTTCACGGTTGGGGGGTGAAGGAAATGGAAAGAATTTGTACAAATTTGTATTTGAACTTTGTAAATAAACTAGTAGAAAAAATATACATAAAATAATTTGCTCAGCAGACAAATTAAAAAGGTTTGGAGAAAGAGCACTACCCTGACACACTGCCTTCTTAATTTTAAACCATGCAGGGCTCGCCTGCTCTGTTCACACAACAGCCTCCTGGTCCAGGTCTAGGTTCCCCATGAGCACAATCAAGTGTCTGGGATTCCCATTCTTCTCACTATCAGCCACAACTTGTCATGATCCACACAGTCAAATTCCTTGGAATACTGAAAAAAAGCACAAATTCTTCCGGTATTCAGACATTCTTCTGGCATCCTTTCTTTTCAACCAGGATCCATCAGAAATTAGCAATGATATCCCTGGTGTCACAGCCTCTTCTAAATCCTGCTTGAAGTTTGGGCAGTTCCCTATCTACGTACTGTCCTTGCTGTTTTTTAATGATCTTGAACAGTATTTTGCGTGCATGTGATATTAATGATATTGTTCAATAGTTTCCACATCAAGTTGGATCACCTTTCTTGGGAAAACATGCCCAAAGTATGTCAGACGAAGCTTTAAATCCTTGCCTCCAAGTAAAAGCCTGGTTTCACCCTCTCTAGCATGAGCCTGTTTATTCTCCTAGTAGTTCATGGTATATTCAATACTCTTCTCCAACAGTTCAAAGGCATCAGTTCTCCTTATATTATCCCTTGTCATTTTCCAGCTTTCCGATGCATAGCACGTGACTGCCAAGACTCTGACCTGGATCAGCTGTACCTTAGTCTCCAAACTGACATCATTGCTCTTTCAAGATTGCAACTCTGGGATTAAATTTGTTTTTCCATTCTCTCAGTTCGAGAAATGAAGAGCAAGTTCTTCCCTTCTTATTCTCCAATTCCAGCTCTCTCCATATTCCTTTAGGATACTTTTATTTGTCCTCTTGAGCTGCCCTTTGAAATCTTCTCTTCAGTTCTTTTATTGAAGCATATTTTCCTTTTGTTTTGGCTTCTTGACACTCCAATGCCATTTTTAGAATCTTTTCTGAAATCCATTTTTTTTTCTCTTATCTGTGTGGATCATAACAAACTGTGGCTGACTCTGAGAAGAATGGGAATCCCAGAACACTTGATTGTGCTAATGTGAAACCTATACTTGGACCAAGAGGCAGTCATCAGAACAGAGCAGGGTAACACCACATGGTTCAAAATTGGGAAGGGTGTACGCCAGGGATGTGTCCTGTCTCCAAACCTTTTCAATCTTTATGCAGAACAGGTTATCTGGGAGGCTGGGATCTATGAGGTGAAATGTGGCATAAGGATTGCAGGAATAATAATCAACAAACTGTGTTATGCAGATGACACAACATTGCTTGCTGAAACTGAGGAGGACCTGAAGCACTTGCTGTGGAAGGTCAGGGACTGCAGTCTTCCATATGGATTGAGACTCAGTATCAAGAAAATGAAGATTCTCAGCACTGGGCCGACTGGCAGCGTCATAATGGATGGTGAAGAGATTGAGATTGTTCATAGTTTTGGTTTGCTTGGCTCCACAGTCAACACTCTTGGCACCAGCAGCCAGGAAATAAAAAAAAAATGTATCGCAATGGGAAAGTCTGCTGTTAGGGACCTCTCTAAAGTACTGAAGAGCAACAGTGTCTCTCTGGAGACTAACGTGCGCCTGATATAGGCCATGGTCTTTGCAATCACTTGTTATGCATCAGAGAGCTGGACAAAGACTAGGGATGACAGAAGGAGAATTGATGCCTTTGAGCTGTGGTGCTGGAGAAGAGTATTGAATGTACCATCGACTGCTAGGAAAACAAACAGATTTGTCCTGGAAAGGGTGAAGCCAGGCTGCTCCTTGGGGGCAAGGATTCTGAGGCTTCATCTGACATACTTTGGACAAGTTGTAAGGAGGGACCAGTCCTTGGAGAGGGACGTCATGTTTGGCAGAGTGGAGGGACTATGAGATGGATTGATTCAGTGACTGGGGTAATGGGGGCAGGTGTGTCGGAGATGGTGAGATTGGCACAGGATACAGCAGGGTTTAGGGCTGATGTACATAGGGTGGCTATGAGTGGCAGGTGACTCGAGGGCATATAACAATAACATTTTGTAATGACGTTTTGCTTTCTTCACATATGATATCCTTGATATCATTCAAGGATATCATACATGCCAGTCATCTGCTTTGATGGCTGGTATTAAATGACTCAAACTTATTTCTAGGATGATCTTGAAATGCAGATGGAATTGATTCAAGATCGTATCTTAATTTTCTTCTGCTTCAATTTAAACTTGCAGATGAGTAATTATAGTGTGACTTACAATCCATGCCTGGCCAATTTTGATTACTGATATTGAGCTTCTTCAATGATATTTTTAACAAATGTGGTCAATCTGATTTCTATGTCACCCATCAGGTAAAACCCATGTGTAAAGCTGTCACTTGTGTCTTTTAAAAAAAGGTATTTGCAATGAATAAATCACTGTCAATACAAAATTAGATCTTTTTATTTCTGACTCATTTCTATCACCAAGTCCACATTTTCCATACTATTCTTCTTCACTGTTTCCAACATTTGCATTCCAGTCACCAACTATCATTAATGCATCTTGACTGCATGT